AGAAAAACAATCCAGCACGACAGTATCCGTAGACCTGTCTCTTATACACATCTAGATGTGTAGAGAGAGAGAGAGAGAGAGAGAGAGATGAAGCTGGGAGAGGGGAGGAGATGTGTGAGAGTGAGGGTGAGAGTAATGCTTTACTTAAACTAATCAGAAATGACAAGGACTCATTGGTGTGCGTTAGGCAGGGAGAGGGGAGGAGCTGTGTGAGAGTGAGCGTGAGAGTAATGCTTTACTTAAAGCAATCAGAAATGACAAGGACTCGTTGGTGTACGTTAGGCAGGGAGTGAAAATGAGGGCAGGCAAAGAAAGGGGGAGGGGAGAGGTAAGGAAGGGGGGGGGGAGAGGTAAGGAAACCAAAAAACAAGTGTGGAAAAGAGAAGACAGAGAAAGGGGAGAGACGTCGAGTTAGATTTTGAAATCATTCTAGGAGCAGCATACATACCTCCTCGTACTCTACGAAATTTGTGCGTTCGGGCTCTTGAGCTAAGCATGTCTCAATCGGAACAACTTGCAAGTCATTTGTGTAGGGCGGACAAAGAAGCGGCACTGCTGGTGCTAGGACGGGTAAGCTATTCGTAACCACGATTCCATTGTTGATAAGCTGTGTTCCAAACAGTACCACACTCTTGCTTTTGAGCAAAGTTCGGTTGGCAGTGTTCTTGTCGACGCAAGGCAGAATGTCTGATATACTTGTGTTTGCTGACACATCATGTGTCCACTCTTCCATTGCCAAGCACGTGTCATCAGTCACGCTGCGCGACAATACAAAACAGGAAGATCAAACAAGTAGTCAGGCAAAACGGCACTCTCACGCAAGGAAGAGTGCTTCCCTCCACGACTCTCCACATGCACAAAAGACAAAAAGAAATTGATGGTGCATCTTTCCATGTTCTAGAGGAGGATTCACTCTCATGTTGGTCATTTGGTGAGTAGCAGGGCCAGGGCCTCGCTCCACGACCCTCCACCTGCACAAAAGACAAAAAACAAATCTGGGGCTGTCTTTCCACGTTCTAGCGGAGGATTCATTCTTATTTCTTTTGTGCATGTGGAGAGTAGTGGACGGGAGAAGCCGCAAGTAGATCATGGGTGACAAGTTGATAACACGGCGATCATGGGAATGACTGCTGACCGAGTACACTACTCTCCTCACCCGAATAGAACGCCCGGTCATTATTACTAATACAGCACATATCAAGACTGACTCTGGCACCGAATACGGCTGTAATCACCGGGCGTTCTATTCGGGTGAGGACAGTGGTGTCCTCGGTCAGCAGTCATTCCCATGATCACCGTGTTATCAACTTATCACCCATGATCCACTTGCGGCTTCTCCCGTCCTCTACTCTGTATGATGCCTAACTGCCCCACGTGCCCTTTGTTTACCCAGTGGTCACTCCAGTTCTCTTCCTGTTTCATTGTCCAGATGTCCCGTGTTCTTCCCCCCCCCCCCCCCCCCCCCCTGCAATTCTGTATCACCTGGCTTTACTCTGAAAGAATTCACAGCGTTTCGCAGTGTCTTTTTTCAGTGCTCCAGCCTGACTTCCATGAGAAAAGGTCAGATAATTTAAATTCTGTCCACAGGCTCATACATATTGGCTGAAATTCCGTGTAACACTTTCCATGCCTGGGTCCTCCCTGGAACTCAGCTCCTGAACAGCTTGGTCTTTCGAATGCTGCCCCACGGTAGCCCAGCCGATGAGCAGATAAATAACAGCTCTCAAACTTCGCTCGCTGAATGAACTGTCAACTTCGAGCCGCATTACTCCATCTGAGAGTCGACTACAGTGGCTCCACAAGCGGACCCTGGATTATTACAAGCAAATGTTGGCTACGTCACATTTCACAATTACTCAGGGATTCTGTTTGTCTCTCTGCCTGTCTGTCTGTCTGCCTTCTGCCTGCCTCCCTCCCTCCCTGTCTGTCTCTCTCTCTC